ACTAAAAAAAGTTATATACCATGTCAGTAATATCAATAAAGGAGCTTACCATTAAGATTATCAAACATATAATTATCTAATATAACAAATGCACAGGTTATGAAAAATATATAATTTGTGTTGTTTTAGTAGTAAAATATAAAGATATATAAGATACGTCTGTAGATTTTTTTAATTCAAATAATGAACGAAAAACAAAAAACAAAAAACAAGAAAGATAAAAAATAATTGAAAGATAGATAATCAGATGAATTTCAAAGAAATTTAAAGTTGTTTTGTTTGTTTTGGTTATTTATTTGCACAGATGAATCATGTAGTTTTTTCTCATATAAGAGACAATATATCATATGACAATTCTATGTCTATTAATTTATGTACACATATACAATGTAAAAAATAACTGATCATTCACTGAAAAGGATGGCAAAAGCATTCCAACTCTGAACAAAAATATCCACTCTTTTATTTTTAACAGCAATTAATTTTTCAGTGCTGTATAAAGATTTTATTTTACTTTGCACTGCCTGCAATGTTAAAGCTTTCTTAAAATATTTGCAGTTGAAAATATATTGTTTTATTTGCAAATAAATCAAATTTGCAGCATTCCCCCTAAATGATTTTGTAATATCCCCAAACATAAAATGTTTTATGGTAAATGGAACACTTTGTTGTACCTAGAATATGATGATTTATTCTATATTGTAACCACTACAGTTTGGTATTTTTTATGACTACAAAAGGTAATTTGAAAATTAATCTCCACTCATTTTCATCTACATTTAAAATTTGATCCCATTTTTTCTGACCCGTTGAAACTATATTAGTTCTGATTAATAGTGAATACATGTCTTTAGTTCCCCTTGAACTTTTAAAACAAATCTTGGCAAATGAAGGAATAAATGGAGTGACTAGTTTATAATTATCAAAAACATAGCCCTTTCTTGCATTCTTTACAGCAGAAATTATGCTGTTGTATTTTATAACATTTCTGTCAATTTTAAATGTTTCTTCTAACTGTTCCAAACTGAGAATTTTTCCAGCATCTGATACAATGTCATTAATGAAAAATATACCTTTATTAAACCAGTTTTTATAAAATACAGGTTTATTTTCTATTTTTATTCAATTATTCATCCACAGTGGGCTTGACAAAAAATATTCCCACGTATTGTTTTCTTCTTTATCAATAATAATGTCCAATGCATGGAAAACATCATGCCAAAATTGATTTTTCATATTCACTTTAATGTTTGACAGATAACCATATCCAAGTTTAAATAATTTTTTCTTGATTTATTATGGAAAATAAAACATTTTTCCATTTATTGTCAGATTGGAAAAGTTTTCTTACCAATGTAGATTTGAGGGCTGTGATAAAGGAGCTAAGGTTGATCATTTTCAATCCACCTTCACTGTAAACTTTTTGCAACAGCTCTTTCTTGACTCTATGAACAGGTGAATTCCAAATAAATTTAAAAATAAGCTCACTGATCTTTTTCACAAGTTCTTGATTTCGATTTGGCAATGTAATTATAAGGTGATTAAGGACAGGTAAAATCAGAGTTTTCACAACTGTAATTTTACCTATTACTGTAATATTTCTTTTTGACCATATCTTAAATAGATTTTTTATCTGCAAAACCCTCTCATTATAATTAATGTTAATAATTTTATCAAGATCAATATCAAAATTAATACCCAATAACTTAAAATATGTTGTACCCCAGGATAAATTTCTGTTTGGACAAAGTTAATCACTATATTATTTTTTACTCCCAATCCAAACTACCTGTGTTTATATTTAGCCCTGAAAGTTTTGCATACCAATCTAATTCATTTAAAGTTTCATTTAAGGACTGTTCACTTCCATCTAAAATAAGTGAAGTATCATCTGCAAACTGTGATAACTTATGTTCTATCCTAGTCACAGTTATACCAGTAATATTTCTATTCCCCCGTATGCGACGAATTGCCAAAATTTCTGCACAAATAATAAAAAGGTAGGGTGATAAGGGATCCCGTTGTCTACAGCCACGTCCTATTTGAAAAAAGTCTGAAAGATTTCCCCCCTGAATGACTGCAGATGAGATATTATTATAAAATACTTTAATCCAGTTAATAATAGATTCACCAAAATTAAAAAAATTGCAAAACTGACACCAGAAAGTCCCAAGATAGAGAATCAAATGCTTTTTCAAAATCAATTAAAAGCAATAAACCTGGAATGTTATGTTCTTCTGTATACTGTAAAAGATCATAAATCAAAGCCAGTTTGATCTAAATCAATCAGTTTGTCTAAAACTTTTTTAAATCTACTAGCAATTACCCCTGAACCTATTTTGTATACAGTATTCAGCAAGGAGATAGGTCTCCAATTTTTGAGTAAATGTCTCGGTTTGTTGTCTTTTGGTAAGCATGTAATGATTCCCTGCCTTTGAGTTACTGATAAGTGTCCTAAATTTGATCCATAATTTAAAGATTTAACAACAAAAGATTTCAAATCCCTCCAGAAAAACTTAAAAAATTCTGTTGAAAAACCATCTGACCCTGGTGATTTATTATTATTCATTTTCTGTAATGCTGGCTTCATTTATAGTTATCTCCCCTTCTATATTTAACTGTTCATCCACTGATAATTTATTAAAATTTAAATCTTTCAAATCTCTTTCTAAATCACTCAGTTTACACCCATTGCCATATTTTTCTCTAGTTTTGTATCAATTTTCATAAAAGTCTTTTGTCTCCTTTGAAATATCAAATTGGTTTGTAATAATTTTACCGTCATCCTTTTCTACTTTGGAAATTATTTTGCTTGTAAATTTTTTTTATTCAAGACCACAAAAATACTTTGTAGGTTTTTCACCTTCTTCAATCCACTGAACTCTAGAGCGTATAAATTTACCCCTAATCTTTTCTTTTCTTCTACTTTCTAATTCTTGTTTTTTAATTTCTAAGTTATGTACTAAATTTTCTTCTAGTGTAGCTTCTAATATTCTAATATCACATAATAAATCTTTTTTCTTTTTTATCCCTTTGTTTTTTCTTGTAGCTTGAATAAGAGATGGTTTAACCTCTAATTTCTAACAACAAAGTTTCAAGAAACAACTAACTTTTTACAGTAAAATGGAGATCATCATTACAAATCTCATGTATATTTTTAAAATTATAAACCAATGCACCATACTGTTTTTTAACATCTAAAAACTTATCTTTAACAATATCTATGTATTCAATATCATAAAGTAATGAACTATTGAATTTCCATAGACCTTTACCTCGAACAAAAGGATTAAATTCAAATTCTAAAACTACCATGGAATGATCTGAACGATAACTAAGTTCGATTTTACAATTTCTTAAATTTGTCAACATACAGTCTGGAATAAGAAAAGAAACAAGACGTGCTTGTTTGAATGGTGATTTTTTTCTCCAAGTGTATCTGTGTAGATCAGGAAACAGTTCTCTGAAAGGGCCCACAAGGGACCAGTGCTCTATAATTTCAAGAACTTTATCTCTGGCATTGGAATTATTAACATGTAAATAATTACAATAATCAATGCATGGATCTAATACTAAATTAAAGTCACCACAAAGTATGTAACTTTCATTTCCAAAATCTTCAATAACATTCATAATCTGATCATAAAAACCAGGACTATCCATATTAGGTCCATATAATGACAAAAGTGTAAGTTTCTGTTTATCTATTATAACATCTAATGCTAAGTAATTGCCATTCAAGTCTTTTTTCTCTTTTAGCACTTTAAATTCAAAATTATTATTAAACATGATTGATACGCCTCTTGAATTAGAGGAAAAAGAAAGATAAAACATTCAAAACCCCACATTGATCTGACAGCATTCTCAATTTCAGTAGTAAAATGCGTATCTTGTAAGCGGTAAATATTATAATTTTCTTAACAACACTATTAAAGAAGCGAACAATAAGTGGACTTGGCTCGTGTACAGCTGGTAACCTGTGTATTGCCGCAACATCCCTTTCTTCTAAAGTAACATATAAATCTCTTTTTACCATTTCAATGAAATCCTTATGAAGGTTTTGTCTGTCTCTCCTTGGAAAGTTAAACAACTTGATATTGTTTTTTCTGGAATATTGTTCGTTGTAATTGCTGCTCAAATTGGCTATTTTGGCAACTTTTGCTGTTTCTGCTAGGTCAGTCTTAATAGGAGACATATGAGAGGACACTGCTTCAAGTCTCTTTTTCAGATGCTCATTTTCAATAGATAGTGCCTCTGTTTTCTCTTCCATCTCTTTTTCAATTTTTGAAATTTTATCGTTCACTTTTTTTCCAGTGATGACTCAAACTTACTGAACAATTTCTTCACAATTCCAGTAACAAGATTTTCTAAGTCTGAAGTCTTGACAAGGTCTTTTGTAATGTCAATCAAATCATCTTTTGTGGTTACATCCCTAAAGATAAATTTTATTTCATCAAGGTCTTTTTGAAAGTTAATAAGACCTGATAGATCAAGACTAGTGTTTGAGTCATTAGAAACTGCAGAGTGAGTTCTTTTAGCCTTAGGTTCTTTATCATCTTTGTTGTCCTTTTTAGCTGCCAATAATGTCTGAACACTCCTTACTGTTCTACTATGTGTAGGTTTAGTGGAAGTTTTGTTTAAAGTATTACTTACGGTAATCTTGGGTGCTCCGGAATGGTAAGCAGATCCTGAAAAACGGTCTAATTCGATGGGTCACCATTTGTGGAAAAGAGGACGTGATTGTGGTTACGACAATTGGTACATGTCCGTCGTCATCTTTGAAACAGATATTTCATTACGTCAGCCAACTCGTTATGGTGTGCACGTGCGTAAAGTTTTCGAAGGGACGACTTCAACTTCACCACTTGGAACTCATAGTTTAATAGCTTCCTTTTAAGCAGCAACCCTCTATCAAATAAATAGTGATAGGAAATGTAAGCTCTTGAATATCGTATCAACAAGGAGATATTTACTTCATATGTTGGCGCTGCTGGAATGTTGCTACATAGAAAAGAAAAAAACTGAGTGATGATGACATAAAAGTTATGCATTTACCTGTGATTGAGGAGCTGTGAGTGAATTACCATGATCTAAAAAAGGTAAAATATAAAATATTCAGATCTATGTACTATTTTTCAACTGAAAACACTACAGAAAACTCAAAAAGTCTCATTGTAACGCAAACATATTCACTCTCCAAGATGTTTTTATATCTGTAAAAATGGCGTTAATTTTTTATTAATTTGAATATCTGAGAGAAGTAGAAAAAAACTACAAGTTGGATTTTCATTCGAGTCGAAAATACTGGCAATGACAAGAAATGTTATATTGATCTAGATGATCGGAAAACATGTTTTGCTGTATCAAAGATGAGTGCAGTCGTAAAATTTCATTGACATTACTTTCTTTAGAATAAAAGAAATCGAAACGCAAGTCAAATTAGGTTGGACATACATATTTACATACAATTGAAATCTACGAGCCTTGAGGTCATATTTAAGGCAGGGCACGAGAACAATTTTAAAAGGATGTGATAAAACACTACCATACGTATAGCTCACTTTGTTCCTGAAATCTATAGACACAAATTTAGAATAATAGTAAACGGTGAAGTGGACAGATTATCATTTCCCATTATAACAAGATGATCATCTGTTCTAAATCAGTATGAATAAAAATCATGTATAACCTTCTTGTACTTACCAACTTGACATGTAGGTCCAGAATATCCAGATGGACACTGACAGAATCCTTTATTTCCTTTGCCGTTGCAGAAACCTTGGTTCATACAAATCAATCTGCTACAGGGTCCTCTAGCTAAATTATGAGTAGACATGAGTATGAATAACATGTATTATGCTACTTTGTAGCCTTATCATCTATTTTTAATTCTTTTTTTTCAGTCAATGTATTGGCATACACCGTTTGTTATTTCGTAATATCGGTGGAATTTATTTGATGTTCTCTTCTACTGACTACTGATATATTCAAACCTGAAATAGTTAAATAGATATAGGAAGATGTAGTATGAGTTCTAATGAGACAACTCTCCATCCAAGTAACAATTTATAAAAGTAAACCATTATAGGTCAAGGTACGGCCTTCAACACGGAGCATTGGCTCACACCGAACAGCAAGCTATAAAGGGCCCAAAATTACAAGTGTAAAACCATTCAAACGGGAAAACCAACGGTCTAATCTATATAAAAACGAGAAACGAGAAACACGTATGAACTACATAAACAGACGACAACTACTGTACATCAGATTCCTGACTTAGGATAGGTGCAAACATTTTCAGCGGGATTAAAATGCATGGTGTACGGGAAGTACCTCTTGATATTCATTTCATAATAAAATCTTCGGTTTCAAAGAATAGTACTGTCACGCGGGACCACACGAAAGGAAAGCTTACGAAAATTCCCATGTTTTCAGAACATTTTCTCAAAATATTTAAGCTACCGTCGAACAAGCTATTTAAGGTAACTAATTGTTTAAGATATCAACGCCTTACTGGTTAAACGTTACACTTCAGGTACAGGTATATATAAATGTATACCACAACCCCAATTTGTCAATGGCTCTTTTGTGCCATAAACAATTATATTTTCAGTTTATGAAACACATTTTATAACCTGTGAATACATTGGCAATATTATCCTTTTTGGTTTTAGACAGAAAGATCTGCAACGTTTATGTTTGCCATAAAACTAATACCAAAGGTTATAAGTGCATTATTGATACACATGGTGAGGGGATCCGCCTACACAATTTGGGGGTGATCAACACAATTTTAAAACTTTGTGGCATAAACGTGACCAGTGATCAGGAAAATATCCGCAAACCATCATTTGGTAAAAATCTACACTGATTATTTTTTAGTTCCTGATTATAAAGATTTTTCATGAACGATTTATCACGATTTCTAGCATGGTAAACAATCAAGATTTGAAGTTTATTTGGAATTTAAGCTGTTTCCTCAGGCTTGAATGTAAAAGTTATGAAAATCGCAATCATGTTGAATGAATGTTCACTTGGAAAATGGTTCTTATGATTCTTATGAAGAAGAAAAAAACATGTTCTTGTGTGTTGTTACGTTGATAGATGGTAGACTGATGTTACAATGACCAACTAGTTGTTAAAATCAAATCAACAGTGTCAGTTGTTCTAACATAAGAAAATGTCTTGCTGGTATCTTACTAATTTTCTACTTGCAAAAGAAAGTCCAAGAATCATGCAGTGAAAAAGAAAGGCTCATAAATTAACTACCAGTATAGTTAGATAAAGAATAGATATGACACCATTTCGAGAAAAAAAATCTATTCAAGCAAACACGGCTTAGACAATTATAAACCTTGAAAATGTTGTCACAAAAAACCCATTTCTATTTTCAAAAGTTGGCATGTATGATCGAAATCTATCTTCTTTATCAAAAAATATTTCTATCATCTCATGTAGCCATTTTCGGCCAAAGAGAAGGGACAACATTTTAGTTTCAATAGAATAGATGTTATATTACATCTTTAGTTTAATGTTATAAGGCAAGTTGCAAAAGAAGTCGTCTAAAATATATGTTTACCATGTAATGTTTCTTTGGTTATCATAATACTGTAACACCTTTTCTCCCCTTCTCCTCTACAAAAACAAAAAGTAAGTTTATATAAAATGAATCATAAGTTTTGGTTTTCTGGTCAATAAATATATTCAAATTTGGCAATCTAAACAATTATATCAAATACAAATTAACTGAATTTCAAGGAAACTGAATTATAAATGTTAATTTCAGACAGAAGGAAGATATATGATAAACATTAATCATATTTGTGAGTCTTGTATAAATAAAGATATAAACTTTCTGCCTCACTAACCGTTTCTTGCAGAAGTTAATTGCAATTAGTTATCTATTTTCATTTCAAATTCATTATGATTAAAAAGAGAAATAGAGTATACTTCAATGAGACAGCACCTCGACAACAAAAAACAACAAAACTAATATTGTGTCTATACCATCGTCGAACAGTGCTGAAAAACAGTTTTCATTAAATGAAGATTGGTAAATTTTCAAGTGCAAAAATTTCCAACTATTGTCATGGGTGCAACCACTCAAAATGCATGCTTATGGCAGTTCCCATGGTACTGAAGAAAATTGACACATTAAAGAATAATGTGTCTTTGTAGTCTGAAATCAGATACAATCAATTCAAGTAAAAAGTGTAATGTATGTACGGTAGTTTGCTCAATAAACTGCAGTTAGGTGATTCACAATAGACAACTACAGCAAATGGTGCTAAACCATAGAAAATAATAATTCCAGTTTGCCCCAAAGGTGCACATCTTCAAACCAGCACTATGTACTCTCTATAGCATTCTATTACAATAAAAGCTTTTTTAACATATGCAACCGGAGAAAAATAATGCAAATCTATCCATAATATGCGGTGCACGTCTTCTATCTGTTTATCATCGCTGTGTCGAGTGAGTAAAGTTTGAATAATGTTGAAGGAAAACTGTTGGGGCTTCTCATGACACAAAATAGTTACCTCCCATGTGTTTTCAAACAGACAGACAGAGTATAGTGGTTTATTGACATTCTCTTACCTCTGGTGGTAACAAATATATCGACTTTAGGTCAACCGGATTCTATACAGTATGTATAACTATTAATCACTTAGAGCCTAAACGTTGTCATACATTGTACTAGTTTTTCGTTAAGATCTCAACTTTCCCCCGTTTCAAAACTAGATCAATGAACTAACAAACGGCACGTAAAAGAACAAACTATAACAATTGATACAGGAGGAGCTCTTAAACTTGACATAAATGTATAAAAGATAAATAAAACACAATCACAAAAACATAAAGAAATAATATGTTAAATGATTCTCACAGACACTGAAAGCAAACTCAAGTATTTATCAACCTGCTGATAAAATCGTGTATTTCATATACTACTGCTTTTTGTCATACAACCATTGTGTAATTTATATGTAGTAATTGGTATTTGTAATTCAACAATTGTGCAAAAACAGTATTTTGCAATGCGCGTTTTGTGTGGTGACCGCTTTATATCGAAATGTAATTTTGTCATCAGCTGACATATACTGTAAAAATATGAGCATACAATTTAACTTAATATATATCTTACCCATGGCCTTGTCTACTTTGTTCAGGAGGAGTAATCAGTGTAAAACAAACACTAATTGTCCTTTCTATATCTGTGTGTATTGATACGTCAGTAGAACATGGACTTGGGTCTTTATCTGACTGGAAAACAAAGATTCCATCTAGGGCTTTCATATCAGACTCTACTATTGGGCTGAAAATAGACGTTCATAAATCACTTAAAACCTTTACTAAACTCTTCCATAGATATAAAGATTTGGTTTTGAAGTTTGGTTGTACCTGTAGAAAACTTATTTCAAACGGGGTAGCACATCCTAACTTTTACGAAGATGTTGTTTACCGAGTCCGAAATTTAGAAACGATCCGGCTAAACTTATCGATCCTTTGTATAAACGGTTAAAAGGTTACCAATTCAACAGTGTAATGAGATCTTTGAATATTGTTTTTAGTAAATTAAAATCAAACTAAATATTATTTGTATATACATATGCATATTCATGGCTCTACAATCTGTCGATACCTGTATTTTAGCATTGCACAAGGTCATGTTTTTCTCTGACTGTTTGTGACGTCTTTACACTAAACCCATTGGATACTGGATGTGTACTGATTGATATTTTAGTTTTAGACGCATGATTTTTTTTATTAGTTGTTATTAGCTTTGAACTAACTGTCAGTAACTGCGAGTATTCTCAGATCTGTACTTATTGTCTTTTTGTTGTGGGGATGTATAAGTACCCTGCCACGTCCACTCTGCGTTTTTGTTACTTTTTTGTGCTATGTATTTATCTGATGAGTTAAGCCCTTTTCAACTGATTTTTATAGTTTGTTCATATTTTATACTGTTACACCACTGTCCCAAGTTAGAGGGAGGGCTAGGATCCCGCTAACATGTTTAACCCCGCCAAATTCTGTATGTGCCTGTCCAAAGTCAGGAGCCTGTAATTCAGTGGTTGTTGTTTGTTGCTGTATATCATATTTGTTTTTCGTTCATTATTTTGTTCATAAATCAGGCCGTTAGTTTTCTCGTTTGAATTGTTTTACATTTTTCATTCGGGGCCTTTTATAACTGATTATGCGGTATGGGCTTTGTTCATTATTGAAGGCCGTACGGTGACCTATAGTTGTTAATTTCTGTGTCATTTGGTCTCTTGTGGAGAGTTGTCTCATTGGCAATCATATCACATCTTCTAATTTTTATAGCTACCTTACAAAGAAGTATTGTTTAGTGTAAATCTGTATTTGTTTATTTAAATTTTATCTAAAACATCGTATAATCTCATAAGTTACTAAAATAATTCTGAAAATTCATTGATTTATAGAGTAAAAAATCAAAAATTTCCTTGGGATACTGATTATTTCCAGCTCTATCATTTAGTATTCAGAAATTCATCGTCCACTCGATCCTTATCTATGAGCTAAAATACAAATTTTTATTTCTGACTTGGAATTTTTTTTTTTTCATTTTCTATTTGAATCTGATTATATAATAAAATGATCCCAAGTTTTTTTTTTTTTTTTTTTTTTTTTTTTTTAGTAAATCATACTTTATTGATAGTTTTGACATTTGTTAGTGGATACATCAAATACCGGTACCTTATCCCGGCCTCGTTAACCGTTAGTGGTATATAATCAATTTGGTTAGTACTTGTTAGTTTATTTTATCTGTAATATATACATTTATAAATTATAATATATCCAACTAATACATTATCAATATAGAATGATCCATATATTTGAATAGAATAGAAAAATAAAAGAATAAATAAATAAAAATCACAGAAATTTGGAATTTTGGAAAAAGCAAACACAAAAAAAAAAACAAAAAACAAAAAACAAAAAGATATATCTTACTTACAGCATTCATAATACAGCTTGCAAAGGATTTTTTTCAGTTATTTTCGTAAAGGCAATAACTAAGAGGAACATACATGTAGTTATAAACATAGACAAAACATCAAGCATACATATAAACCAACATATAATAGTATTAAATCATAACATGGATGGTGATGTGGATAAGGTAAAGAAATGTAAGTGAAAGTAGTTCCAGTACACAATGTACCTATTTTTTGTATAATAAAACATTATTCTTCTAATATTGGAAGCCAGGGGTCCCAGCAGATATTGGCCATATGAAAAGGGTTTCTTTTAAAAAATATATTCTTTTCTAGTGCCAGAGATTCTTTGAGGTAATTTTTAAGTCCTGTAAAATTTACCTTATTTTCACAGAGTTTTGTTCTATAAATATAGAATTTTGTAAGGAGTATTATTAAGTTTTTTATCATATTATTTCCTTTGTTACCGGTACTTAAATTTCCAAATAAAATAATATCTATATTAAATGGAATTAATATTTGTGTTTGGTTATAAATCCAATCACCAAGTTCAATCCATAAATCTGAAATTTTATAGCATGTCCAAAATATGTGCTCAATATCTTCAATAGCTTCATTACAGAAAGTACATTTATCTGTTTGTTTTATCTTAATTTTGAATAAAAACTCATTTGTGCCTATGATTCTGTGTACTATTCTGTATTGGAACCAATGAAGTTTAGAGCTTTTTGTGGTGTAGAAAGACATATTATGCACTTTTTTCCAATCAATTTTTTTGTTTAATCTTAGAGACCATTTATCTTCACAGCTAGGCCTTGTACTATTTTTTTCTAATAAAACATTATACATATCTTTTGACCCTTTATTTGATAAAAAAAATGTTCTTATGTTATTTGGAAGAATTGGTCCATGAATTTTATAAAGATTGTCTATAGAGATATTATGTTTAAGAGAATTTTGGTATGATTTTATTGCTGATATAACCCCATTATAAACTAGAAAGTTAGATTTAATTTCATAAATATTTTTGCATTGCTCAAAAGACATTAATTTACCCTCATTATCTACCAGATCATTAATCAACAAAATACCATTATCAGCCCAGTCTTTATAGAAAACAGATGCGTTACCTATTTTAATACTTCCATTATTCCAAAGTGAGTCTGTTAAAAATTCTTCTTCATTTTTTGGTATAAGTTTATTTTGCATTTCTGTCCATGCTTGAAAAACCTCTTTCCAAAAGGGGTTTTTACATCTGTTTGGTGGACCTAGAAATACTAGGTTTTCAATATTAATATTTTTTGTGCTTTCTATTAGCTTTTTGAGTTTTGTATTGTTTTTTAGCAACCGCCGGACCCAAGTTAGTTTTAACCCTTTAATATATTCTTCAATATCTAGCATTTTCAGCCCCCCAGATTTATATTCCAGACATAATATTTCTCTTTTAATCTTGTCAGGCTTGTTTTCCCAAATAAATGAATATATTGTATGAATAAGTTGTTTAAGAGTAGTATAGCATGGTGCTTGTAATGTTAAAAACAGATGATTTAATTTTGAAATAATTAGTGTCTTGTTAATTGTTATCTTTCCCACTGGAGTAAGTGTTTGTTTAGACCAAATATTAATTATATTTTCAATTTCTTTTATTTTAGGATAATAGTTCAAAG